ACAAAAAAAGCCGTGCACATCGGCAGGCGAAATGGGGTCTTGCACCCAAAGCTTAAACGGAGGTCTGAAATCTCTCCCCCTTTACCGATCAGAGCGCGCGCTGACACGTACGAGCGCGAAAGTGTGCGTGGCAAAAATGACGTCATTGCGGTGTGGGCAGTCGTGCACCCAAAGCGCACGACTGCCCACACCGCAATGACGTCATTTTTGCCACGCACACTTTCGCGCTCGTACGTGTCAGCGCGCGCTCTGATCGGTAAAGGGGCAGAGATTTCAGACCTCCGTTTATTAAGGAGATCTCCAAGATTTCTCTTCTTGGGGAGGGGGTGGTGCACAGACCTCTCCCGAATCATCTCCAGCAGTAGCAGCCTCCGAAGCACCACTAACTCCGCCTCCGTTTCCCTCGTAAGCTGATATTAGTATTTAAATATTCTCTATGATAAAAAATGTTTGTAAAAAAATATTTTAATAACATGGTTTTTGCGGTTCTAATGACGGTGTTCAACTATAACCGTCGGTCTCACGGTTATATAATAACAAATGCCCGGAATCATAGGCAAATCAGTGCTCGATCACGCCGAGTGATGATCACGCAGTGTGAATGATCAAAGATGCGATCTTAGAGTATCGTAGATGAGTCGCCGATGCCTGTGAGATATTTGGCATGCTAAATATCTGGACCTGTCGGTGATTAAAAAAAATGACATTATCGATGACCTACAGCCAATAAGAGATTAAGAAACAGGGCAGCGGGAGGTTCAGGGAGGAGATATAGACTAGAATATCAGTATTTTAATAGATATATTTACAATTATATCAAGCAGAAATAAAGCATAAACATTTGCTTGACCAGACGCAACAGCAGCACAATTCCAGTTTCGCGCGAGAACTCCGGTTTGACACACGCGTGATCTCGCGTTGTTTCCTTGTCACTTCAAATACAATTGGCACAGTTTGGATGACATGATAGTGAGTTTTTGCCAGAAAACTTACTTTAAGTAAAGAGTAATTTTTATTTTTCATTCCAGGGTTGCACTTAATGTGGAAATGTAAAGACTGTGGGGGGGTCTATACAAGAAGATCTGAACTGCTCAAACATTACAAACTTAACCACAAGCATTATGGACGCGGATCCACTTATCCATGCACTTATTTAAACTGTGTATGCAGATTCAAGACTTGGAATGCTTTATTAAGCCATTTATCCAGAAACCACCCTGTCCAAAGGTTACCCAAAGAACCCCTAACCACTTTCAGCTGTCATATTTGTTTTCATCAACTTTCAGCCGAAAAGGATTATTTTCAACACATCTTTCACCATCTGAAAAACAAGGAGACCATAACATGTATGTACAAGGACTGTACCTACAAAACTAATGTTTATGTGAATTTTAAAAGTCACAAACATAGAAGACACTCTGGAGCAAGTGATTTCAAGCATGGGATTGTTGAAAACAAAATTTTAAACTCTGGCAGTGAGTCATTCAGAAGTATTTCATGTGATATTTCAGATGATGAAATACCTTGCAGCGATGAGCATGTTGACCCTGCAATTGACAGTGATCCTGTGAACTTGGAAAAAGAAATAGAACTTAAACTTGCTTTGGTCCTTTTAAAATTAGAAAACATCTATCTTGTATCTAACACAGCCATCGATGAACTGCTACAAGAGTTGAGCTATTTGATTGGCTCTGTATCGCTTCCTATCACACAGAAGACTTTGACTGAAATATTACAGGAACATAGTTGTGAGTTTGACCAATCAATCGTTGAAAAATTAGCTAACGCATTGTGTGAGTCTAATGCTATTAAAAAAGCATTAGGACACAAAGGGCCGCTTTCTACTGCGTGGAGAAGAAAGAGTTACTTCAAGAGACACTTTAATGTTGTTGAACCTGTAGAATTTGTACTTGATCGCAATGAGAAGAAAACTTTCCAGTACGTTTCTATTCTAAAGTCTTTGCAGCAAATTCTTGAATGCCAGAATGTATTGGATCAGGCTAGGAATTTGAAAGACACAGATGAACTGGAACAACCAACTAAACAAAGGGGTTCTGTGCAGGTTTACAAATCATTTTATGATGGTGCCCTTTTCAAAGAGAATGATTTTTTATGCCAGCAGAAAAGTATTTCATTGATATTATATGTTGATGAATTTGAAATTTGTAATCCGCTGGGTACGTCACGACGGAAGCATAAAATCTGTGGCATTTATTGGATTCTGGGCAATTTGCCACCATTGTATCACTCATCTTTGTCTTCCATCTATTTGGCTGCTTTAATCAAAAGTGATGATCTAAAGTCCTTTGGTTATGAAAAGGTGTTAAAGCCTTTGATTAATGATCTTGTCATTTTAGAACAGAGTGGTATTTTTGTGTCAAAGTTAGGCAGAACAGTAAAGGGGGCAGTTCAGTGTGTCATAGCTGACAACCTTGGGGCCCACAGTATTGCTGGATTCGTTGAAAATTTCACAGGGTCTTATGTGTGTAGATTTTGCACTGCGGAAAAAGTTCAAATTCAGACAACAGAAGTGAACAGTGGAAGTTTTTGTCTCAGGACCAAAGAAATTCATGAAGAACATCTAAGACAACTTCAGGACAATGGACTGGCAAACTATTATGGTGTAAAGAAACAATGTACTTTGTCGAAACACCTTTCATATTTTGACGTGACATCTGGGTTCCCACCGGACATTGTCCATGATCTTTTTGAAGGAATTGTACCTTTTGAGTTGTCGCTTTGTCTTAGTGTATTTATTAAAAAAAAATACTTCACCTTACTTGAACTGAATGCAGCAATAACATCTTTCGATTTTAAGGGGACGGACAAAACAAATAAACCTCATCCAATCCCTCTTCATTTTGGATCAAAAAAAACTGTTGGAGGGAATGCTCATGAGAACTGGAGTTTAATCCGATTTGTACCTTTGTTGATTGGTCAGAAAGTCCCCTGTGAAGAACCAGCTTGGCATGTTTTAACGGACTTGAAGGATATTGTTGATCTAGTTGTTTCTCCAATTCATACAGAGGAATCCATTGCTTATCTCAGTTTCAAGATTTCAGAGCACAGAATTCGGTTTCAAGAGGTTTTCCCTGACTTTGATCTCAAACCTAAACACCACTTCTTGGAACATTATCCACACCTGATTCGTCAATATGGACCGCTTGTTGCGTTATGGACTATGCGTTTTGAAGCGAAACACAGTTTTTTTAAGCGAGTTGCAAGAAATATAAAGAACTTCAGAAATGTGCTCCTTTCGCTTTCTGAGAGACATCAGTATCAGATGGCACATCACTTGTATACATGTTCTTTTCCCAGGCATCGACTAGAAGTGTCAGATGCTTCCACAGTTCACATTGATGTCCTTGACAAAGGGATCTCCAGTGGATTGAGAGACAAGTTTTTAAATGTGGACACCGTGCACCTAGCTAACAATGTGACACATAATGGTTTGAACTACAAAAGGGGGATGATCTTGATTCATGGATCTGTTGGAGGACTGCCAGACTTTTGTGAAATAATCCAAATGGTTACTATAGAACAAAGATTGATCTTCATTGTCAAGAGACTCAGTGGGTGGTATATTGAACACTACAGAGGTTATAAACTCGAAACATCATCCGTTAAGGAAGTGGACCTTATTGAGCCTCAGGAACTGCAAGATATATATCCCCTGGCTGATTACAGAGTTGGAGGAATGCGTCTTGTTACCCTTAAAAGATATGTCCATTTATAAATGGTAAGGCCTATGATTTTGTCCAGAGAAAAAAGACCCTGCTATTTTGATGATATTTTGAGTTAAGAGTTATAATTGTGATGTCAGTATCTAGTTGGCTATTTAAAGGGATAGTTCACCCTAAAATGAAAATTCTGTCAGTAATTATTCGCCCTCATGTTGTTCAAACCCTGTAAGACTTTCGTTCATCTTCGGAACACAAATGAAGATATTTCTGATTAAATCCGAGAGCTGGATCACTCCTCCATAGGCTTCTAAGGGATTGAAACTTGCCGGCCCAGAAACGTTATTAAAGACATTGTTAAAATAGTCCAAGTGACTACAGTGGCTCAATGTTAAGTTTATCAAGTGACGAGAATACTTTTTGTGTGCAAAAAAACAAACAAAAATAACGACTTTATTCAAGTATTCATTTCCTTCTCTCTTGGCCTCTAGATAGTCACGTAGTATAATTGCGTAGAGCTTCTGTGTTGTACGTCACACGTAGCCTCACTATTGGCCGACGCTGGTCATGTGTGTGATGAGTGTGACGTTCAACCAGAAGCTCTACGCTGTTACACTACGTGAACTCACTCGAGGCCCACAAAGAAGGAAATGAATACTTGAATAAAGTCGTTATTTTTGTTTGTTTTGTTCGCACAAATGTATTCTTGTCGCTTGAGAAACTTAAGATTGAGCCAACTTAAGATGAACAAACTTTAATGCCAAACCCACTAGCAGTAAATGTGACTGCAGGCATGTATGGTGAATTGAAATTGTTAAAGGGTTAGCTGCTGGAAAAATTGCAAAAAGATAAACATTCTGAATTTATGTTTAGTATGAATGTTCAGTATTCTGAATGTTTACATATTAAAAAGATGTAATGTCTTCCCATTTGGCACATACTAATTGAGTAACTTCTGTCTTGCAGATTGCCATGGCTGTATCAAAACCTGCAAGACTGAAGGTGGTTTTAGGGGAGAACAACATTGAAAAACTCAGCCTTCCTAGTGGCATACCGGAGTCACTTGAAGACCTTCACTGCTCAATTAAGACGACCTTTGGCATAAAGAGCAACATCAGACTTCAGTACATGGATCAAGATTTTGGCAGTGATTTCTTCAATCTGAATTCTACCACTGACCTTAAGGATTTGGGAACAGTCAAGGTCATTCTTCATCAAACCACTACAGATCTCAGTACCACTGAGGCTGTATTGTCTCATTCCACTTCATTTGACTTAGATGACACAGTTTCTATGGCTTCAAATGACACCGTTTCTATGGCATCAAATGACACATCAAGTGTCACACTAAAAATGTCATCCCCTGAATCTGTTTTTTCACGAAAAGAGCAGTGGCCAAAAGACTTTGCAATTCCTCAATTTTCCTTTGAGACTGAACTCCAGCTAGAGCATGGAAATGCTGAATACCTTACAAGCGGGAAACTGCTTACTCTCAGCTCTCGTACAAAGTCTGATATCCTAAATAGACTTGCAGAGGAAATTTTCAAATACAAGGCCTACCCAGAGGACACACACTTCTACATAGTCGCAGAGGCCTTGATCAAGAAGTACCCTTGTCTGAAAGAACCTGGCTCTTTCAGTGTATGGTCTGGTTGGAAACAGCGACTGAAGTATAAAATGGGAAATTACAGGACCCAACTCAAAATGCAGGGGTGTGTAGAGGTGTCTGTTAACTCGCTGAAAGCCAAAGCAGCGACAGATGGTTTCCCTGCAAAAAAAATGAAGAAGCCGAAACGTGCAGAAGCAAACTTTTACCCTTCCCTTCCTGTTGGACAGACTTGTGAGAGTCTTGAAAAAGAAAGACTTGAACTTTTAACAGAGGCTGAAAAAAGGAAAAATGAAAGGGTTGTCAAGGAGAAAATGGCTCTCACGTTTGCTTACAGACGGCAGGAGGTAGTGAACCAGGAGCCCAGTGTTAGGGATTTCAAGGCGAGGTGGCCTGCGCTTTTCAGACATTACGAGGTATTGAAAAAAGAAGTTAAAGTTCTAGTTTTACTGGCTAAATACATTATTTGAGTTGATATAATAAAATTTTGCTTGTGCAGTTTGACTGTTGTTGACACTTTTTTGTTTTTGTTTTTTTGTTTTTGATTTCAGATCAATGCAGAGTTCCATAGGCTTATGGCTGTTCCACTAGAAGACACGTTCCTTGCCCAGTTAGATGTGCACATGAGTCAACTAATTAGAGTAATCCGTTTAAAAGGAGGTGCAACCCGTGAGAAGACTGCAGAAATTCTTCAGATTTTGGATCAGGTACGTCTGTGTGTTTTACATTAATATCAACTACACAATCTTATTTTAGTCGCAGTATGTTTAACAGTAACATTTACTTGAAATTTGAAAGTGTCATAACTAGGGCTGTGTATCACCAACAATGTCGCGATACGATACGCATCACGATACTAAAGCCACGATACGATACGTATCACGATATGGATCAATTCGGAATTTAAATTTCTTTTGAGCTGAGTTTAGTAACAGTAATATCTGTTTATTGAATAACCAGTGTTATAACAGTTGTGATGACTGAAAAACAATTTAGTTTTTGTCATTAAAAAAACGAGTTAAATAAATTAAAAAAGCTTAGAATGGCTCTTCCTTCTGCTTTTAAAGTCTGCCTTAATAACTGAAATGACAATTATAGTGACACTGAAGGATGTCTACACTGCTCAATGACTAAACAAAACTTAAAGGAGAACTCCGTTGCAAAATGAACCTTTGGTCTAATTACACATTGTTACCTAGTCAACCGTTATCTGAGATTTGTTTTCATGATTATCGAATGTAAATAGTTTTATCTCTAAAAACAGTTTAGCCTATAAAGCTAGTATAACGCTAGTATATTGGGCATAGTGTAATGACAAATAAAAATCGCTTGTTAATACCACTAACAAGGCTGAAAATAGACCCACACTAACACGGTAGCATAATGAGGGTCCCTACCTTCAAACCGAAGCATTGAGAACTTTGTCAGTGTCCAGACAGTTTAATAAGAAGATATTTTAAACATACAGTCAACTTCGCGTATACAGGCAGAAGCCATCTTTGAAATACAGCCTTTACCAGTCGATCTACGAACGCCGATCCAAGCCTGCTGTTCGCGCTCACCTTATCACAACTTATAGCTCGTTCACATCTCACCAGCGCACTTGGATCGGCGTTCGTAGATCGACTGGTAAAGGCTGTATTTCAAAGATGGCTTCTGCCTGTATACGCGAAGTTGACTGTATGTTTAAAATATCTTCTTATTAAACTGTCTGGACACTGACAAAGTTCTCAATGCTTCGGTTTGAAGGTAGGGACCCTCATTATGCTACCATGTTAGTGTGGGTCTATTTTCAGCCTAGTTAGTGGTATTAACAAGCGATTTTTATTTGTCATTGATCTATGCCCAATATACTAGCGTTATACTAGCTTTATAGGCTAAACTGTTTTTAGAGATAAAACTATTTACATTCGATAATCATGAAAACAAATCTCAGATAACGGTTGACTAGGTAACAATGTGTAATTAGACCAAAGGTTCATTTTGCGCCGGAGTTCTCCTTTAAAACATTCCATAAAAGCAAAAACGGTAACAACTTAAATTTAACTTAGTTTTCTCAAACTCTTTTAAACACCTACAATTTGGTCTTAAGTGTTGGAATGTGCACCAAACAAAGTCATTTATTCTACGTTGAAATCATTTTAAATGAAGATTTTTTTTTTTTAAACGTAGACATCAGTGTTTATATCTGAATAATGATTTTTGTATACTTCTGTGATGTATATATTTTGGCCACTCATTAATACAAACTTTTATAGTTTTGTAAATGTTTATCTTTTCTTGTCCTTTGCGAAATCTGATTCTCTATTACAGATTACTCAGAATTTTAAAAATAATCACAATTGCTTTTTCACAGACTGAAAATATTCACACGAAAAGAGAGTGTGTCCTGAAGGCCCTCATCGTTTTCCTGGGGGAAAATCCTCAAGACCTTATCAAGGAGTACCTTGTGAGTTGAAATTCCGCATATTCTATTTCGATTTTGATTTTTCAGAAAGTTTAAATTTGGGTTTTGTAGTTATGAACGCAAAATGTATTTTGTTTAATGTACACTACTTTAGGAGAACCAGCGAGATGATTGTGAGGGTGAGCTGGAGCAGCTCACCATGGCGGTGTATGTTATTCGGAAGGAGGGGGGAGAACATCATGAACCACCGGCTGACATAGGTATCATCATTGAGGGTGTTAAAGTTTTGAATGAACTGCCGTCGTTCACATCAGCTTGTGCCTTGCTTCTCGGGATGATATACATCATCAATCTGGCTTACCCAAAACCACTTCGTTTGACATTCGAGGTATTCCAGAAAGTTCTCTTGCAGCTTGATCAGCACAAAATGTCACCAAAAGTTCAAAGTCTTTTCAGTAAACTACAGTGAACTTGCAGTAATGTTTGAATGTGCATATGCCTAGTCTGTGTTTGAAAAAATGTTTAATTTGTTTTCTTATGTTTGTAGACTATCCATTTGTTCATTCATATGTCTAGTTTGAATGTGTAGTTGGATGTTCGAATCTGTAGTTGATTGGTTCACTTCAAATTTAGGGCATTGCCTGTAAGCTTTTCTAAAGCACTTTTCTCATACACTTATATGGTTCTATTTTAAGAATATATTAAAGGGATAGTTCACCCAAAAATGGTTCAAGTTGTTCCAAACCTACATGAGTTTCTTTCTTCTGCTGAACACAAAAGAAGATGTGTTGAAGAATGTTGGTAACCAGACAGTTGACGGCACCCATTGACTTCCAGTATTTGTTTTTCCCTGCTATGGAAGTCAATGGGTGCCGTCAACTGTCTGGTTACCAACATTCTTCAACACATCTTCTTTTGTGTTCAGCAGAAGAAAGAAACTCATGCAGGTTTGGAACAACTTGGAACCATTTTTGGGTGAACTATCCCTTTAATAGTTTTTAGGTGGCTCATTTAAGGGCATAACCACTGTTTTTATATTTATTTTTATAAATGTATTCGTGGCTCAGTTTTGAGCAAGATGCAGTGCAAAGACCACTTTGCAAAAAGACTGTTAATGGAATGGATGTGAAGTGTGTCAGTAAATTAAATTTCATTGGCACAACAAATATGAACAGTTTGTAATGATTTCTCAAAGTTTGTAATATGGAAAATACTGATGGTGTATACAATGAATTAATGTTAATAAATATGTCTAAAGCAATTTGATTATTGTGTGATACTGTGATTGACCTAGTGAAATTAAGTTGAGAAAATATAATAATTTAAGTTGAGAAAACGTCATTTTTTTAGGTGTTACCAATTGAAGTAATTTTTTTAAGTTGAACCAACTGTAGGAAAAAGTAATACATTTAAGTTGGAATGCAGTGAAATTAAGTCAGACTAATGTAAATAACAGGATTGAATGAACTCAAATAATATAAGTGTCCTTGACCTAGTGAAATTAAGTTGATAAAACGTGATAATTTAAGTTGAGAAAACTAAAAAAATTTAGGTGTTACCAATTGAAGTAATTTTTTTAGGTTGATCCAACTGTTCACTTTTTACAGTGTATGGACTTTTTTACTACCCCATAATATTTTTTTTCTTCTTCTAATTTTAGGCTTTGGGGTCAGGCTCAGGCCTATTGTTTTTTCTGCACACTGTAAAAATATTTCAGGATTTGTTTTCACAACTTTTTTTCTTTTGTCAAATCAATTTATAATTCATGTGATTCAGATAACAGCCTAATATTTTGAGTTTCTGTTAATTAAACCAATCTTTTTCATTGTGTAACTCAAATTTTTAATTTCAATGAACTCAAAATTTTAAGACAAGCAGGTTACTTAGCCTACTTTTTTTACGATAAATATTTAAAATATTAAATTGTTTACAGTGCATTTATGAAACTATATCAGAGAAACCATTAATGTTTTTGTTGTTTTAACATAGACCGTATAAAGATTATTATGGTATTACTATCATGGAGTACATTAAAATATAAAGAGAGCATTTGACAGAAGTCTATAAATATTGTAGTACTGATGAGGTGATTATCTAACAAACTATATCCTCCTTTAGGCTTATAGCTAATTTGATGTATGCCTATTTTATGGAAAGTTTTTGAAGCCAAGATTCATCCCCAGAGGGCGACCTCCAACCATCTGAATGGAACATGGTGATTAAACATTTTTAATTTTTTATCTAACACACTGCAGACCCAAAAAGGAGTGTTTCGGAATTGGATCGATTATTTATAGGCTACTGAATGAATTAAAACTGACCTAACTGCTCCTGAATAAGCAATAGGCTATTATTTGTATTTATCTGACTTATATTAACGTAGCTTTAATAATAGGCCTAGATAGATCTAATATTTAATATTAATATAAATATAGAAAACTTGACGTTGCTATATGCAAAAAAAAAAAAAAAAAAAAAAAAATCCATAAGCATATCAAAGCTGTTATATTGTGGAATAAACCAGGACTGAAACATTCTATTGACCAATCAGAATAATCTTTATACGGTCTATGTTAAAACAACAAAATCATGGTTTCTCTGAATCAGTTTAATAAATAGGCCTATACGTAAATATATTTTCACCAATCAGAAACCAGAACTTAATAACGACGTAGGCTATAGCCTTTTTAAATTAGTATATCATAAAGTTATTTAATATCAATATTATTTTACCAACGCTTTGTTTAAGTGGCGTTAATTGAAAGCATATTTTAATTGCAAAACAAATATTTTATTTTTATTTTGTAAGAGTGTTATGCACTAGCGTCTGTCAGGGTTCACTGGCAGGTTCACTATTCTTCACTGAGCGGCTCTCAGAACTACTTATAGCACGTGTTTTGTTTCTCCCCCTCAGCGGAACGAGGCTGAGAGAGTTCTCTGTGTTTCTCATCACTCTCCTCGGGTGTAGGTATTTGGTCGTTTGGAGCCGGACTCGGAAAGGTCGTATAGGCACCATGACGTTCACTGTCCACTTCAGGGGCGCGGAAGTTTTATTCACTGCCAAAATATCGATACAGTGATGTTCACGACACAAGGGGCTGAACTGGTTTCGGGTTCCAGAGAGACCGAAATCGCCTTTGTCAATGGGACAACTGAGTTTTCCCCCACTGTTCTAATAACCACAGTGGAGCCCAAAAGTAATGAGTCGTGTGGGGAGCAGCAGACTCTGGACCTGGACTTGACTAAGACTGTGGTCATTGGGATGATGCTGAGCACCATCACTGCGGTCACTGTGATGGGAAACACCCTGGTCGTTATTGCGGTGTGCGTCGTGAAGAAACTCAGACAACCGTCCAACTATCTGCTAGTATCTCTGGCTATAGCTGATCTTTCTGTGGCTGTAGCCGTGATGCCCTTTGTCATAGTGACTGACCTGACAGGGGGCGTCTGGCTCTTTGGGGAGGTTTTCTGCAATGTCTTTATTGGGATGGATGTCATGTGCTGCACGGCTTCAATAATGACTTTGTGTGTGATCAGTGTGGACAGGTAAGATCATATGAAGAGTTCGAGATTCTTTAAAGGTTTTAGTTCTTTCAAAGAAATTGAATTCATATGCAGTTTATGGCAAATAATTTGACACTTTTTATTAACAAACGTTAATAGATGTTATAATGCTTAACAGATCATTATATATTGGTGTGTTATTTAGGCTATTTGCTTTGCTTGTCTTTTAGCCAAGATGTTATGGTTTTCAAATAATCATTCAAATAATAATTTATAATAATTTAAAACTAAATTATATATATATATATATATATATATATATATATATATATATATATATATATATAGCCTAGATATTCAGAAAATGTTATGTTCTTGGCTGGTTTTCAAAACAAAATTATAAAATCTATATATAGTATAAAATCTATATAGATATTCAATGAATTCTATATCCTTGGCTGTTGTCAAGATGTTATGATTTTCAAATAATATGCAACAGAAATCTATAAATCTATATTTTGTATAAAATATATATAGATAGTCTATTCAATCAATTAATAGAAAAAGACCCTATAAATAAAACTTATTATTATAACTTAATGAAAAAAGATATCAAATTATTTAAATAACCCATGTAAGAAATATTCACAGACATGCTCCAATATCAATGTGAAAACCTGCCCCCACCTGTTATTCATTAAACACACACACACACACACACACACATTTGATTATTTTATTTGGAATGAGCAATACTGATTAAAACAACACAGCATCCAAATATTCACAAAGAGCCTGTTATGTTTTTTTCACCTGACAATACACACATCGACAATAGTCACAACCACATGAATATATAAATAAATAGACTATGGATAGAGGTCACACACGCACACACACACACACACACACACACACACATTTACTAAATGAATTAATAAAAAATATCATAAACATTTATTTTATTAAAAATCTGAACTTGCTATTGCAAAATATGATAATAATGGAATTTTTCTTTGGAGGATAAAATCCACAATGTCTTAATTTTAGAAAGTTTTAAGAGTATAACATACAAATCTAAATGATGTAGGTATTTATGTAATTGTATTTTTGACTCCAAACCTTATACTAAAATATATCCCTTGGCCTTATAATTGAAAGTGCATGAGCTAGGATCTGTTAGTTAAGCATACTTACAGTGTACTTACCTATAAAGTACTGGCTAATATAAGGTAAGTACATGGGTTAGGGGTAGGTTTAGGGGTAGGTTCAGGGTTAGTACCTAGTTATTACCCAGTAATTATAATTACTTTAATAAGTACATAGTAAGTACCGGTACATGGATAACAGGACTGTAAAAAGAAGCGTTACTAATTATTGTTTAATGAAAACTGAAAAGCATGTTGGGTATCCATTTCCATAATATATATATATATATATATATATATATATATATATATATATATATTTATAGCCTATTATATATATATGTGCAGTTTAGGCAAATATATATAAAAACACAAGAGCAACCCTAAATAAATAAACTGAGCAATAAAAAATGCTTCCATGTAATTTGAGGCTATGAACTAGACTTTGAAGCTGAGTCCTGGTGCGTATGCAATTTTGATGGTGCTCTTTGATAAAGTTCTGAGCTGGAACCCCAGGAGGTGAGGACTGCATGCTGGAACACCCTGCCGCGGTTATTCGATTAAAAAGTTAGGTCCTTTCACGAGTCTCAATGATAAGCGCTGGCCTGACAACGTGTATTTGCTGCTTATCTGAATGTTTCGTGGACAGTGCAATGTGTAACTGTAGATGAAGTACTGTGAATAGTAAATTTCGCTAGTGATGAAGATAAATAATTCAAGGATTATAGATGGCTGTAGAAATATTCTCTTTTAACAAGCTTTGTGAAAAGTTTTCTCTTCAACTTGAAGTCATTATTTAAGGCAACTTTAAGGCTTCATTTAGAAGACGAATGTTAAAATTACAAAATACCAATCAACCAAAGTCTCCATGCACCTGATGGAGATGTTTCTGTTTTCAATATGGCTTTTCATTTCAATACAAGAGCTAGTTGTTATGTTCCCCAACAACCTTCAATCCAAATGAGTACAATACATACTATGTGTTACGATGGTGGTTGAAGCACGGAGGAAGCAGGATCCACATGCAGTACACTTTATTAAATAAACTGAAAACTTCACAAAGACTCAGACTCAGAACAGGAACAGGGCATCCAACATTAACAGTAACAATACAAGAACTCACAAAGACTGGACTGAAACACAGGGCTTAAATACAAGGGCAAACGAGCTGAACAAGATAACAAGGGGGCGTGGTTAACCGGGGACACCTGGGAAGACTAATAGACATAATGGGGAACTGCTAAAACAAGAAATGACAGGGGAACACAGACTGACATAACAACATAGCCCCCCCTCAATGGGCGGCTCCCGACGCCCATCAAAACAAAAACAAAAAACAGACATTTCAGGAGGGTGGTGGAGCGGAGGCGGTCCTGGGGGAGGGATGGAGGGCCAGGTCCGCACGGGGAACAGGACCAGGGCCTTGCAATGGTGGGCCAGGAACGTGGGCGGACCTGGGCCATGGGATGGGAAGGAGCTGGCTGCGCAGGCGACCAGGGCGGAGCAGGCTGCGCAGGCGACCAGGGTGGACTAGGTAGTTCGGGCGGCCACGGCGGCGAAGACCCTTCCGGCGGCCACGGCGGCGAAGACCCCTCAGGCGGCCACGGCGGCGAAGACCCCTCGGGCGGCCACGGCGGCGAAGACCCCTCGGGCGGCCACGGCGGCGAAGACCCCTCGGGCGGCCACGGCGGCGAAGACCCCTCGGGCGGCCACGGCGGCGAAGACCCCTCGGGCGGCCACGGCGGCGAAGACCCTTCGGGCGGCCACGGCGGCGAAGACCCTTCGGGCGGCCATGGCGGTGAAGACTCCTCGGGCGGCCACGGCGGTGAAGACCCTTCGGGCGGCCACAGCGGTGAAGACCCTTCGGGCGGCCACGGTGGTGAAGACCCTTCGGGCGGCCACGGCGGTGAAGACCCTTCGAGCGGCCATGGTGGAGAGGACCCTTCGGCCGGCCATGGCGGAGAAGACCCTTCGGGCGGCCATGGCGGTGCGGCCTTCACAGTCCCATCAAGGGTCCTACTGCCCCCCCCCCAAAATTTTCTTAGGGTCAGCCATGGGGTCATCAGCAGGAACAGACACCGGCGCAGGATCAGCGGGCTCTGGCGCAGGATCAGCGGGCTCTGGCGCAGGATCAGCGGGCTCTGGCGCAGGATCAGCGGGCTGTGGCGCAGGATCAGCGGACACCGGCTCAAGTGTGTGCGTAGCCCACACACACCACATGGCTGTGGCCATAATGGCCAGTGTTGCGGTCACTGAGGGCTCAGGCGGCGCATGCGTGGCGTGATCAGTCTCTGGCTGGGCAGACGTGACGTGAACGGTCTCTGGCTGGGCAGACGTGACGTGAACGGTCTCTGGCTGAGCAGACGTGACGTGAACGGTCTCTGGCTGGGCAGAAGTGGGCTGGACGGTCTCTGGCTGGACGGTCTCTGGCTGGACGGTCTCTGGCTGGACGGTCTCTGGCTGGACGTGGCTGACGTGAAGCTCTGGCTGGACGTGGCTGACGTGAAGCTCTGGCTGGACGTGGCTGACGTGAAGCTCTGGCTGGACGTGGCTGACGTGAAGCTCTGGCTGGACGTGGCTGACGTGAAGCTCTGGCTCGGCAGGCGGGACGGTCTGGACGAAACGAGTCCCAAGCAGGTTAGCCTTTTTGGCAACCCGTGCTGACCTCAGCGGGGGATCGGCCACGCTGGACACCAGACGGCTATAGATCGATCTGGTGGGTGGCTTGATAATGGGAGTGACGTAAAGACCAGACTGAAGGGATACTACTGGTTGATGGAGTTTCTTCTCCATGTCCACAGCAAACGACGAATCGCTCAGGAAAAGTGCCAGGTCGATATACCGTTCTAGCGTCCAGTCGGTATAGTCATCTGGCATCATAAGAGCGATGCCCTCGTCTAGTCCGCTCCGGAACAGCTCTATAAGCTGGACGTCGTCTAGGGACGCTAAATGGCAGCAAGCCCAGAAGTCCTTCACATACCTTACTATGGGCTGGCCATCTTGTGACATTGACAACAGGTATCTCCTTAGGGCCTGGTTGTTTGTGACTACTGGATCCATAGTTTCGGTGAGTTCTTCTGTTACGATGGTGGTTGAAGCACGGAGGAAGCAGGATCCACATGCAGTACACTTTATTAAATAAACTGAAAACTTCACAAAGACTCAGACTCAGAACAGGAACAGGGCATCCAACATTAACAGTAACAATACAAGAACTCACAAAGACTGGACTGAAACACAGGGCTTAAATACAAGGGCAAACGAGCTGAACAAGATAACAAGGGGGCGTGGTTAACCGGGGACACCTGGGAAGACTAATAGACATAATGGGGAACTGCTAAAACAAGAAATGACAGGGGAACACAGACTGACATAACAACACTATGTATATGGCATATGAAATTATTCTTCAAAGGGGTATGACTAGTAAAACCAGATATACTGTATATTGCACACTTAATACCATTCACGAATGCATGTGAAAGCGAAAACACAATAGACATAAAATATCCAGTTGAGGTAAATTAGTGTAATTTATCAATTTGAACAGATCCTCTTAATAAAATTATTCACAAAAGGCGTTTGAAGGTCAGATGATACTGAAAATACAGTTCTCTAATAATATCTTCTCAGAATTTTTCTTTCTTTGTTTTCGACTACTGCTGTTCTCTCAAGTTAATTTGCTCTGATACATTTGACGGTTCAAGAGCGCTTTTCGTTACACATAACTGAATGCTGCAGTGCAAATTCAGTAATGTTGATGTAATCTAAACATTACCACCTATAACAATCTTGTCATATTGAGACCTTCAATTTTGCTTTGATCTGTTTTTCGCTTTTGTCTGCCCATCATGCTACAAAAAAAGTCTTGAGTTGTACTAGCTTCAGACAATCAGCTGCTACAACATAACATGGGTTCCAATTCCAAAACTTACTGAGCTGCTTAGTTGCAAATAGACAGCTCCTTTTAAGTGAACTTCCTAATTGGCATGCAATCTCATTTGGAATGCTACAAACGGCATACAAATGTTGCTCCACACAGAAGACTTGCATTTGATTTCAATATAATTGCAAATGACTTATTTAAAATCAATTTAGATTGCGATTTATAATTGATATTAGCATGTTGCTAAGCTAACAGCGCAATACTCAAGCATAAGGGGCTTTCGCACTGGATAGTTCTAGGAACTTAGTTCTAGGAACTAACTAGGGGTGCGTTTCCCAAAACCATAACCTGTAACCTGTTAGTAACTTAGTTGGTTGGCAATGGGAAATTGCATTGCAACCAACAAAGTTACTAACTTTAGCAACTATGGTTTTGGGAAACGCACCCCAGGGTGGCTCCCCGAGAACAAATGGTTCCCCTAGGAAAGTTTTCTGGTTGCATTTGCACCGCCAGTAGGAACTCAGAAGTGACGTAAGCCGCGCTTGTTGTTGTGACTTTTATTTTGACGGCGCGGAGAACGCCAGAGCCTTAAAACACAGTGCTCACATTCTCCTTGGTCAGTCTAATATGGTATTAGATTATAACAAGTAGACAGTAATAAAAAGTTAATATGCCGTGTGGTTGATGTCCAGTGTTGCCAGCTGAGCAGAAATACATAATCATGTTTCGCTTTGTCCCCTCAAAGTTGCGTTGGATTTTCTCCTCAGCGTAAAGGTTAAAGAGGCCCATCTATCACTGTTTTCCATGTTCGTAGAGCTAGTTTGTGGAGTAAATATATAGGCTATAATCTGTGTTTACACAGCCTTTTTAAAAATGTCGGGTGCTGGTGTTTCACGTGCATTCGGCCAATCAGTGTACACAAACGTCACTGTAGTTCCTATAGTGCTGGTTTAGACCCGACCCTGAAGTAGGAGCTAAATTAGTTCCTCCAAAAGAGTTCCTAGAACTAAAAAAGTTCCTAGTTCATGCGGTGCGAACGCGCCAAAATCCGGGCTCTTTCGCCAGTAGTTCTAGGAACTATGAAAAGGTTCCTCCGGTGTGAAACAGTATTGCTAACCAAAACTATCAAAATAGGCACTGGAACGGCCTTCTCTGGTTTGGACACATTTGATTATTTTTATTTGGCCAGCATTTGGAGCTTGCCTTAGTTTTTGAGGTGGAGTTCACCTATGATGCCTGTAGGTATCTCAATGGGTTTTGCAACAGCAAATGTTGTTTTCAAAATCAATTACAGCAGCAACAAATGTTATGCTGTGATTACATCATGCCCATGACTGAAGTACACAGACACTGACTTAAGTGCTTGCTGATGATACTCAGAATTAAACGCATTCATCCACCTGCCTGTCTGAATGAAAGTTTTTTAATCTTACGTTTAGCATTAGCTGCTTTTGTCTGGTGTACTGTCTCTAATGACCGAATATGGCATTCAAAGCTTGGGTTTCGTAACTACCCATGTCTGTCCTTACAGTCCCTTGTAATCCTTTTGCTGGTTCTCAAATCATGTCTCATTAAGAGTCACAATAACTTCCGCTCATTTGCTTGACCTGTAACTGTTAGCATCAGCCGTCCAATCTTGAGAAGTGCCCCAGACTACAGTGTTCATTTCCCATTTCACTTTTCCAACTGAGTGCTGTTTTTAATCCAGTTATTATTCCAGTTTTCTGAGAGGCGTCTGCAAGCGGGCTGTATTTCATCCAGTATGACAGGAGGCACAAAGAGCAAACTGGAGTGTAGACAGTACTCAACATCAAAAGACGCTACTACCCTGCTGATTTAGCCTATATTTGATAGCACAGTGTTTGATGATGACATGAAGAGGCTTTCAGTCATCTGCATATCATGAGTGGTGCTTGCTAATACAAACATCACTAATACTATTGCTCATATGTACTTTATAGGGTTATTTGAACAAACATTTTTAAAAAGTAAATAAATAAATAATGATTTACCTTTAATATAACCTCCAAATTATATTCGATATCTTTAACTCATTATGTTTTAATTGTCTGAATAATAAACAAAATTAAAAAAGTTAAAGAGAGCACTTTAGCAACTATTATTAAATGGTTTCATGGTTCAGCGATTTATATGGAGTTTCTGTGTAGGTGTATGAAAGGTTTTAACTACCTTAAGTCTCAGGTCCAATAAGTGTGTCTCTAAGCCCTTTCTTGATCAGAGAGGGATTCTCATGCGTGAAATGAAAGCTTTTATTTTTAGAGGTGGGCAAGGGTATAGAGACTTTCTGCTTTGGTAGGTAAAGAGAAGCCAATGTACTGTGTGCTATTCAAAATTTAGAGAACCTTTAGTTACACTGAAGTCTTTTGAAATGCTCACTGATGTGAAACAGATTTTGATGAAATCAGATTTTGATGAATGAATGCAGTGATTTGTGGTAAAATCTCTAGAGAATGTGATTTTGTTTTGAATTTCAAGGATTCAAACCTTCACCAAAGCTAAACATGTTGGTTCACAATAACCCCCAAGACAGCTCCAACTGTAAACTTTAGAGGTGTGTTTCAGTCTCGACATTAATGATGTGGACAATGAGATCAGAAACATCTCTAACAGGCTATATTCCTTATTTCATGTCCAAGGGTATACCTATAAGCATTAAATGGTGACTTAACAGCACAGAGAAGAGAGAGATGCAGCAAGAATTACTGCTAATGCAAACATTACATATTTATAATTAGTTCTTTTTGAAAGCTTTTGAAGCCATCTAGACTAGAGTGAATATGCTAATGCTGTCTGAAACTTTTTGACAACTGAAACATCAAGTTGAATGAACATCTTAATGCAAGTTTAACACACACAGAGAAATGTAACTTTTTCCCTTGACACTGAGTGCATTCAGAAAGAAAGAACAACTGATTGTGAACCCAATCCAATACTGTTCTTATATGTATATGAAGATAATGGAGCGTCCGAAAAACTGAGTAGGTGCTACATTTGGTTAGGAACGCAGGACATGTGCCTTTCGCTGTCAGTGGATTTACTACTCAGAATCTCGGCTGTAGTAGTAGGTCATCCTGGTACTTTACGCCTAATGTTTTATGAATACTGTGATTTTGGACTTTCTACACATTTCACATACTGTTTTCCCCCCACTATATGGTAGGGATGTAGGCATATTCGGATGCTACAGCACTTTTGTTGGCCGAGTTGCTTGGTTAGTTGAGTTGTCTGACATACCAGAGATTTAGCTGTGAACAATGTATTTTCCACTCAGTTTGTTGGCAAAATTCAGGTCAGTAGGAATTTATTGGGTCTGGTGCTTTTGAGGAATTTTGAGCCATATCTGGCATATACCAGGGTAGATCGTGTGCGAGATCTTTGGGTTCAGTCGTTTTGAGGAATGCAGTTCTCTGCTAAAACGTGAAACATGTCATTTGTTCCTTTTCTATGAAACATTTCCATAAGTTACCTCATTAAACGCGCTATCCTCTGTTTCCGCAGATACCTCGGAATCACTCGCCCTTTGACCTACCCAGCGAGACAGAATGGACTGCTTATGGCCAAGATGATAGTCGGCGTTTGGTTGGTGTCTGCATCCATCACTCTGCCACCATTCTGCGGTTGGGCTCAGAACGTCAACACTGCGGGAGTGTGTCTGATCAGCCAGGATGTGGGCTACACCCTCTACTCCACAGCTGTGGCCTTCTACATTCCAATGGTGGTCATGCTTTTCATGTATTACAAGATTTTCAAAGCTGCCCGCAAAAGTGGGGCCAAACACCACTTCGCCGCACTTCCCCAAATTCAGATGGCCTGTCCTGAACCAGCGTTGGCCACCGTAGAGGGGCTCTGCATGCAAGGGATGAAGAACCCTGCAGCTACCGAGGAGTTTTCCACCCTCTCCTGCCTGTTGAACCGCGAACGTCGGAGCGCCTCGATTTTCAGGCGGGAGCAGAAGGCGGCCACCACTCTTGGGGTGATCGTGGGAATTTTTTCGTTCTGCTGGTTGCCGTTTTTCCTCTTCACCACAGCGCGGCCGTTCATCTGCGGGCTGCTCTGCAGTTGCGCCCCTGTCTGGCTGGAGCGGGTACTGCTTTGGTTGGGCTACACCAACTCGCTCATGAACCCTTTCATCTATGCCTTCTTCAACCGAGACCTGCGTTCAACTTATAAAGACCTGTTACGCTGCCGTTATCGAAACATCAACCGCCGACTCTCGGCTATGGGAGTGCATGAGGCTCTAAAACTCTGACTGCTCTCAATCTGTTTATATAATGGGATGGTGCAAAATATCCTCTTGACTCTTCTAAAAGTCAAGAAACACAGTTTGGAAGGAGTTCATTGGGAATTACAATAAGTCGGATTCATCAAAACATCCCAAGACAGTGAAGTTTCCTACGTAGCATCACTGGAAAAACATACCTCTTTTTTAAAAACAAACAAACATTAAAACATACCTATACACACAACTCACTGCAGTTTTTAGCTGAAATGAACGCTAGTAGCTTGGTGGCCCACCTGGTACATCATTACACTTGCGATGTGCTTGGGTTGAGTCCCATGAAACACGAGTAATGGCAAATGTTCAGAAAATGTGTTTTTGATAACACTTTAGAATACTGTTCTAACTACTCAGGAACAAATGAGTAACGCAATATTAACATTCTAGTAACTACTATTAACTAACAAGAAACTCTGATTAACGAATTAGTAAATAATAGCGCTCAGTTGAATGAGTTCACTATTAGCTAATCAGTAACTACTATTTTTTGCATACCTCCCAGAGGACTACTAAGAACTGCTATATACAGTTTCATAATTAATGAGAGTAATGCACAATTTATGATTAATTATAAAGTAAAGATCATGGTAACCAACTAGTAATTACGCAGGTATTACCAAATCCTTCAGACAGAATTACTAATTATTTGAAACAGTATTCTAAAGTGAAAAGCATGATAACTCCCTATAGTCCATGAGCCAGGGCCCCAAATTTGGTCCATCGGTATCATCTGGGGGGACAAAGTCTCATAGTGATTTTTGGCAAGGTATACACCACTAGTATTAGAAAAATCACGATAGCAGTGCAGGGGTGGTAGCGAAATCTCATGAAGTTACTAACCCCCTAAAATAATTTCCGCCTAAACTGTATGCTTTCTTTTATCCCTGTGGCATGAAAGAACACCAGGGGCACAAAACTCAACAACTTCAATACTCAAGGCACTCTGATGACTCAGAAAATGTATAATATACCCATACTATTTATTTGTGAGAGCCTTAAAGGATAATTCCGGTATTTAACACTTTGAGTCTATTTTGTAGTTTGTTTTGGATGAACTAGAGTGGTGGACTTAGACATTTTGACGATGGGTCCTGTCTCGACTTTTTGACTATTTTAGAATCGCCTCTGACCGCTTCAGAGTGGATGTCTATGGGCATGCTCAAACATGTCCTTAAAACAACCCTTAACGTTCGTTTTCAAAACTGTGCAACTCACCGAGTGGTTAGTGGTGTTTGTTGATGATTAGAAACAAATATATCGGCGCAATGTATGCTTTCAATCCGTGTTATTTGCTATAGTGGAACTATTTTTTCAGATACCTCACAACCGCATATAAACTTCCGCTCGATATTTGAGTCTGAAGCGTTAGCACACTCCCGACCACTTGATGGCGACAACCACTTTGCCGCAGTTGCTCAGCTCACGCTAGCCTTCTGAGAGACGGAGAACCGAGCGAAAAGACTACAACCAAATGTAAACAGACCCCTTTCCGTTTCCGGTAGCGCAGTAATATCAACGAGCACTGAGACCTCCAGCAGACATCAATGCGATTTTAAAAAATGGCAAATAAAACACGACAGAAACTGTATTTCGCTACGCTACTTGTTTTGGAACATCAACGAACACCACTAACCACTCGGTGAGTTGCACAGTTTTGAAAACGAACGTTAAGGGTTGTTTTAAGGACATGTTTGAGCATGCCCATAGACATCCACTCTGAAGCACTCAGAGGCGATTCTAAAATAGTCAAAAAGTCGAGACAGGACCCATCGTCAAAATTTCTAAGTCCACCATTCTAGTTCATCCAAAACAAACTACAAAATAGACTCAAAGTGTTAAATACCGGAATTATCCTTTAAATTAGATTTTTGTAAGGTTTTGGATTGTAATGACTCAAGTGTTATACATCCTTCTAAAGGAATTACTGGCCACTTGGAACAGTATTCTAAAGTGAAGATCATGGTAACCCACTAGTAATGACTCAAGTGTTACCAAATATGTCAGAAGCGATTATTATCTAAAACCTTACAAAAATCTCAAAAGCTTACAATGACTTCAGTCATTACTAAGGCAAGGCAAGTTTTTTTATATAGCACATTTCATACACTATGGTAATTAAAAGTGCTTTACACAGAAATTAATTAAAATAATCACAAAATAAAAGCAAGGAAAATTAAAACAGTTATAAAAGGAATTAAAAGAGTAAAAAGATGATACATGGATAAACTTCTCATCATGGCAAACCACCTGTCTCATATTTTTCACAGCTCCCAGTTTTACTCTGAGATTTTCCTATGGTGATTACACTGTCTGTTGTGTTCTTTCTGCGCGCCTAGGAAATCTATTGGACGTCTCCAATAGACCTGATTTTTCACTAAAATTACTAGGGAGTTATCGGTTACATTTATATAGCGCTTTTCTGGGTACTCAAATCGCTTTACATTGAAGGGGGAATCTCCTCAACCACTACCAATGTGCAGCATCCACCTGGATGATGCGACGGTAGCCATATTGCGCCAGAACGCCCACCACACACCAGCTTACTGGTGAAGAGGAGACAGTGATGAAGCCAATCAGTATAATGAGCTTTGGTCACTCCGCCCCTCTGTTCTGCGGGTGTTTCGACAGAACGCACGTGGAGTGTTGCCTTGACAACAGTTGAGGGTATATTTTGGAGAGAGAATGGCAGCGGGAGTCTCTGAGGACACATCTGTGCAACCGTATCAGTTTGAACCGGAGTCGGAGTCGGACCCGGAACAAGATGACGGCCCCGAAGAATTTCGACAATTAAGGCTCGAACAGGACGTTTCTGAATGGTTGGTTAACGTAATGTCACTTTGATCTATCTTTGTATGCACTGGCAGGGTAGAGTAGTGAGATACGTACGCTGTGTGTTTACTGATGTGTTTACTGATGAACTAACGTTCATTGACAGATTGATGTTACAGCTAATGGTCATGAAAATTTTTTTTTTTTCCGCGATTTGCAAAGATTAATATAAAGGTTAATACAACTTTACACTCACTTCTTCTGGAGGTGCAGCAGGAACATGAAGAGTTGGTACCGATTTTTTGATTTTTCAGGAGCAGCTTCTTAGTAAAACCAGCTTTATACTGACCCTCGTTTATAAAGCAGTCTGGTGAGAAATGATTCGCGCAAACATGAAAGCATTGACGTTGCTCGTGGGGAATATTCCCTTCGAAAACAAAACTCAGCCACTGCGTCTTCAGCGGTTCGGATTTAGGAACATCAAAATGACTGTGTTTGTTATTACACCCAAGAACAGAACACCACAATCGCTTAGACACCATTCTGCTCCAGCGTATCAACAATGGCGGACTATGACAACAGCTCGCTCAGGGCGGGTCTGTGTTGAAACGGTGCTGTCAATCAACAATCGTGGGAGGGGCGTCCGACCGTGTGACGTCACACGGTCAGACGGCTCGATTTGAGACGGGAAAACATATAAGGAGATTAAAACAAAAACACTGGATGGATTTTTATCGTTATATGATGGTTGTGTACAGGCACTGCCAACACACATTTCAGTACAATCAACTTGGAAAGTGCATTATATGACCCCTTTAACTACAACTACATTGTTGACCTTTTAGATTCTTACGCATCAGACAGGACATTAAGATCAACGAACCAATCCTTGCTGGCGGTCCCCAATTCTAAAAAGAAGCCAAAGGGTGGCCAAGCTTTTTCAGTTGTGGCTCCCAAGTTGTGGAACAGTCTTCCCCTTCATACCCGATTAGCTCAAACAATAGAAATCTTTAAGTCTCAGTTAAAAACGTATCTTTTTAGCTTTTAGTTAAGGGTAGTGCACATTGTAGTTATTACTTATTTGTAGTTAGTTTTATTTCTCTCTACACTGATCTCATTATACTGTTGGTGGGTGAAGGGGAATGTCTAGGAGTGTTTAGTCATGCGTTCATCTGCTAGGATTCATAAATGTTTTTATAGATGTATGTTTTTACTGTAAACTGTGAAGCACTAATTGCGCTATATAAATAAATAAAAGTTGAAGTAAGTGGTCTAAATTTATTTACATGTAGCTAAGCCTATATATATCATCTGTGGAAGGCGTAGGACCATAAAATGTTCGTCCAATCATTGAATTCGGTCCGAATGCAATGATACGAAGTCCTACCTGCCTGTCAACGCATGTACCTCCGCGCACTTGCTTGCGCAGACATCACACGTCATCAGTGCGTTTCTTGCTATGCAGAGTTAGACAGACGTCAGTCACCGCACACCGCGACCGAAACAGCAGCTGCCTTTTACATTTCCTTTTGAACCAAAACAACGAGCTTATGCTGCGTTTACGCCATAACTACTGTGATTTGTAAGAGACTTGAATATATGCGTTTCAATGGCAACACTATCAATGCTGAAATGAATCTGCAGCAGTCAGGTGGTACAGGTCAGAGCTCATTAAATTGTTTTTGTTCAGTATTATTGTAATGTTAAATGTGCTTTGAGACGAGGTAGTTAAACGCCGTCTCTCGTGATGCTTTTGTTTGCTCGCATGCCATTATCAAGTGTTTTGAAGGAGGCGTGGCTTTGGAGGCGCTCTGAAGGGAGGTTGGGATCTTATGCTTTCAAAGCTAGCTTGCTATTGCTAGCCTCTCCGAAGATTGCCTATACCCTACCTTTAATCCCTATCTGTTGTGCTTCTGAGCCTTGAATTTAACATGAGATAGCTTTATTTCTGATGAGTGACACAACATGGTCTTTTCTTCAAAAACGAATACAGATAAATTTATACAATAATTTAAACAAATAAATAGGTTTTAAAAAAATGATGTCGGTACTAATTTCAGTTTTTCAGTGATTTCTACATCAGAAATGTTATGCATTCAGCTACTGTGTAAATATGCATGCTATTGCATTATTAACCCTTGAAAAGTGTTGTGGCATTTTTTATTTATTTATTAAATACACATTTTATTTAAAAAAAAAAATGCCACAACACTTTTCAAGGGTTAATAATACACTCTTGAACAAAATCTTAAGACCGGGGGAAACATTGCAAGTATTCGCATTTCGCACTGGTGGATCATAACCGGGTTGTAAGTACTGCTTCAAAATGCCAAAAGAAGAAACAGGAGCAAGAGACAAAAAATAGAGAGTAGGCAATTTATTGAAAACTGCATTTAAACTTAAACAGGCTGGTCATCAGCTGATCAAAAGTTTAAGACCATAGGCATAAAAAGGTAAAATCTGCACTAAAATATGGCTTTCGTGTCATTGATCTTCAGGCAGTCACACTGTCATGATCTCCTGATGGCAAAGGCAAAAAGGCTTTCTCTCTTTGAACGTGGCAGGATTGTTGAGCTGCACAAGCAAGGCCTCTCGCTACGCGCCATCGCTGCCAAGGTTGGATGCAGTAAGACAGTCATTTTACATTTCTTAAAAGATCCTGAGAATTATGGGACAAAAAAGTCAAG